TGCGCCGGAGTATAGGGGTGATATAGGGGGTTATGGACCTGTCTCTTATACACATCTAGATGTGTATAAGAGACAGGAGAGAGAGAGAGCTTGGCCAGGGGGCAAGGGGTGCATGGCGGAAAGCGATAAGAGTTTCTTTTCACATTTGGTACACTGCTCACGGGTGGTGTGCAACTTTGCTCATTGGCAAATCGTAGCTTTCTTCAGCATAAATCTTGTCACTGAGATCAGGAGAAACAGATTCATTTGAATCATACCTTGATGTCTCCTGCACCAAGCCGATGCCCTGCAGCATCAAAAAATCCTGTCTTCTCATACTCCAAAATTTCAGCTAGGCTCATCGACTTCACTCGCTTGGCAACCTCTCCCATGGACCTGCCCAACCTTTCCCCCAATATACTGGCAAACAACAAGGCAGTGACAACAATGGCCATGTTAGGATCCAACAACAATGGCCTTCTCATCCAACACATTTATAAATTTGTCCTACAGTTCTTAAAACTTCTTATGGATAACAGAAGACTCTGCCACAGGTTTCTGATTCTGAGAATTCCTGAACATATACTGGCAAACAATAAATGAGCAACAACAATGTCCATGTTAGGATCCAACAACAAATGGCCTTCTCATCCATGTCTTCCAGGTGCATAAGGGAGCAACCTATTTATGAATTTGTCCTATCTAGTCCAAAGGAGTTTGAGCAGTTCTTATGGAAAATAGAAGACTCTGCCACAGGTTCCTGACTGTATGATGTGTTGTGCTTCTGGTTTCCAGCAGTGTAAACCAGACATGATACACACCTGTATTCTGGCTGCGCGCGCAAGTTTGCATACTTGAGAAGATCGGAACATGGGACGATCGACCGAACATTCATTTCTTCTAACACATACTGCATGGACCAGATGCCAAGCACAGACCAAAAGCCACAACGAGAGATATCAGTACACCGTGATTAGCTGCAAAAGTATTACCATATTGCCCGGAACACAGCACATGACAGGAGGCATATGACAAAGAGGAGGGGTGGGGAGCGGAGAGGAGGATTTGGAATCAAAAGAGGATGGGAAGAACAGGAGTAGGGGGAAAAGAAGGAGGAGAAGGAGGAGGAGGAGGAGGAAGAGGCAGTCACTCAACATGAGCCTGCACTGGCAGTCAAGCAGCAAAGAGCACCACCAAAGGAGTATCAGAGGAGAGGTAGGGTGAGAGAATATGACAAGGAGAAGAACAGCCAACTGCCATTCCCACGGGGCACAAAATCATGTTGACAGACGGAGGGGGGGATGAGCACAATAACAAAAGGAGAACGAGGAACATGCAATGCGGTTCAGGCAACGATTAGACGGGCAGTAGGAGGACAAAGACTCCATCACTTCCTTCCCCATAAGAATGATAAACGAATTTACTTCATCCATCCAAGTTCATCGTGCTTTCCAGTCATGATGGCAGAACGAAAATTTTAAAAGTGCTCTCTCTCTCTCTCTCTCTCTCTCTCTCTCTCTCTCTCTCTCTCTCTCTCTCTCTCTCTCTCTCTCTCTCTCTCTCTCTCTCTCTCT